CTCTGGGAACACCTGAGCCCCTCAAAGGGGCTGGGGACCAGAGGCCTCTGTCTTCCGGCCGCCTTTCCTACAATAGGGCGCAGGGCTGGGCTGGTTCAGCTAATATCCCAGACCCTAAGATTTGGTTAAAAGCAGGGCACTTAAACTCATACTCGGAGACTTGGGTACAGTTGTGCCCCTTTAAGAAGGGCACCCACTGATATCTCCTGGCAACACCAAGACAGCCCGCACTTCATCTTGTGCTCTGGAACCGCCACCACCCTCTTGCTCCCCTCCAAACCTACATGCCAGATCCCCCTTGCCAGGAGAGCCTCGGGCTGACAGGAGGAGACACAGGAGGGGGCGAGAGGCCAAGGGATCCGTGAGGCCACTTCTCTGGTTCTCTGGCCGGGCGCTGGCCTGAGCCAGTGACCCTGGCCGACCAGGACCAGCGGTGGGAAGGGGCGCAGCAGCTATCGCCCGCAGGGGGTCAAATGATTGCATTTGGGTGGGTGCTCGCCGACATATTTGCTGAGTAAACCTCCCTCGCTGGGCTGAAGGCGAATCCCCGTTGATAAATCCATCATTACCGTTCGGATTCAGGGAGGCAGCCGCGCCACTAAATTCATCTTACATTTGTAGCGCTTTAATAGACATTTATTAAATGCTTTTAGAGAGAGGCATGGGGCGCGTGATTACATCCTAGTTATAGACAGAACATAAAGACCCACGTTAACACCCATTTGCAGGAAGGAAGGAAAAGGTGGGGAGGGGGTGGTAAGGCAGAGAGATGAAGTGAGGAGAGGCGAGGAGAGATGGGGCGGGCGGGGGCATGGTGTCTAGGCGTTATTAACAAGGGCTGCCTGGCGGGGAGCGAGGCTAGAGCCTCGGCAAGTAGCGGGCTCTAGAGAGAAATACTCGCTCCCCTCGCAGTCCCGGGGGCTTCCCTTCCCTTGCCTCCCACCCACAATCCCCGCGTGGTGGGCTTGTATTCTCTCTGCCAGGGAACAAGGGACGCCCACGCTGCCTCTGCCGACCTTTTCTGTCCCCCCAACCCCCACTGCTTCTTCACTTTATCCCAGACCTCTCCAACTGCGACACTTTGGAGTGGCCAAACCAGAAAGAGACGGAAGGGAGTACCCCACACGCCCAAGACTTCAAGAACCCCTTTAAAGCATCCTCTTCACCCCACCTCACCCCCAATCCAGACAGCGAGAGAGCTGGGCCAGGCTGCCTGCAGCACAAAGGAGACAACAGGCCACAGAGTGGGTAGATCCGCTCGCTCAGAGGGCTCCTTGGCCTGGCAGGCTTTGCTGCTGAAGGACCCCTTGCTCTGCGCCAGGAGAGAGCCATGCCACCTTTGCGTCTTCGATCATCTCGTGCCTGGGAACTTGCCCTGGACTTGCCCCCCGCTCCCCCCACCTCATCCTCAGAGAGCCGGTCCTATAGGGATGTCTGGGCCTCCAAAGGGCCTAACGCCTTCCTGAGGGCCCCATTAGCCTCGCCTAAAAGCCCAGTCCCCGAGCTCCACCAGCTCTGCAGCGCGCTCTCACTGCGCCCTCGCTCCCGGGGGACGCAGCCACCGACCCAGGCCGGGACAGCAGCCGGCAGGACTCCGGGCCCTCCCTGGCTCTTGGTAAAGAACACTTCCGCTATCTCAAAGTTGCCATAAGAAAATAAATACAAGTGACATTGTACTGGGCCAAAGCTCATTAGTTCGTTGTCCAGGCCTAATAAAGGAACAGAAGCGCAAATTATAGAGTTCAGCTTCAACACACGCTCTGTCACCCGAGATCAGCGCACCGCGAGCCTGATTCCAATTGCTCCGAACTTGCTGCGCAGTTCCCCCACACACACACCCCCTCCTCTCAAGCAGGAGGTTGGGTGGAAAAATATAGTTCCAAAGGGGGTAATGATCAAGCTTTTCCTCTCGGAAGCCTGCGCCACCTCATTTCCCATCAGTAATCCCAATAAAATTAACGTCGTGGCTGCAATTGAAAAGAGGAGGGCCCACAACACTCCTGAAATAACACACTCTCCCCCAGCAAAAGGTAAAAAGCAAAACGGCCCTTTGTTCAGCTAATTAACGAAGGCCCAACTCCGAAAGCAGATGTGTTTGCTTAGCTAATCACAAGCATGTTTCTTTCAAGGAACGTCATTTCGAGCGGGCCGCTCCGGGGGTATTGGGAGAGGGGGACACCACCCCCCAAGGCCCATTCTGCCTCAGGTCTCTCACCCCAGTCTAAGATCCAGAGGCTGAATCCAGGCAGCCCGTCTTTCACACCTTTCTTCCCCTCAGCCCTACCCCAGAGGCCCCATAGGCAGAGACTTCAGCGCTAGCCCCAAGGCCAAACCTGCAAGACACGAGGGGGAAAAAAATAAAAGTTTTAATGACACAGATGCCATATTAAATGAGGCAGTTTTACAATTCACTTTGAATAGGACGCTTATTACAAGTGTGTTATCAGAAGGACGATAAGATTTATAACTCCAAGAGTCAGCTTTGCGCCTTAATGACAATGGATGTTAAGAGGAGGAAATCTGTTCTCTATTAAAGGAGATGAGAGTCCCTTACCGGGGTTTGGGGGCATTTACAGAGGCATTCAGGACAGATACCAAGCCCTTTGTGTCTCCATATGAAAGATTCCCCCTTTCCCTTTTGACTATGAAACAGGGTCTTCTTGTTGGCTTAGCAACTTGCTCAGCTTTTTATCGTGTGCTTTAGGATGCAAAAAAGAGAAGGAAAACGAGACAAAATTGGGGATGGAGATAGAGGTGAGGTGGGAAGCGGTTCTCAGCCCTCTGGTTCCTACAGCAGAACTATTTCCCGGTCTTTCTTTACCATACAAAAGATAGCTTTCCGCTAAACCAACACAGTAAGCAAACTTTAAAAAACTGGGGTCCTATTACAAACCAACGCCCAGCACTAACTGCTTTAAAATTACTGCATAATTAGATTTAGTTGAATTTCACCATTAATTAGGCAGCCGCACTGCAGGGAGCCTTTGAAATCTGAGAAAATGGGAAAAATCATCTGAAGCACGTTTTTTAAACCCAACTTCAATAAATCTTGACGAGGCCTGGAATTCCGAAGAGTGCCTCGCTTCCCTCCCAGGCGGCTGAGGGATAGGGTTGTCCAGGCCAGGGCTGGGGGTAGAACTGGACTTAGGGGGGCGATTTCCCCGTCGGCCCCAAAACCGGGCCTAGGCCCGGATCCATAGTCTCTGCAGATGCCCTCGGAAGACCCTCTCTGGGAGGCCACGGCCGCCCTTGCCCGCTCTCAAACCTATTAGAGAAGGAGGATCCTCCGCTGCAGTGGCCCTCCCGCCAGGGGCACAGTGCACGCGGGCTCACACATTTCTAGGGTCTGCGACCACCCGCCTGGAACCGGCCCTCAGCCCCCGCTCGACCCTCCCACCCCCCAATCGACCCTCCGCCCGGAAAGCCACCTTTCTCACAACTTTGACATGCCGGTAGCAAGTTCTGCCCAAGTCCAGCGGGGTTCGCTTTCCGCCCTCCCCCCCCCCCCCCCCCCCCCCGCCCTGCCCCAGCTCCGCTCCGGCCCGCGCAAACCCCGGCGCAGCCCCTGCATCAATGAGCGCGAGAACTGACCGAGGTCTGTAAAGATCGTCTTCTCCCCCTCCCCCTATACCATTCAAACATTTAAGATCATTTGCGGATACAGACTTTTTATTTTTCTAAGTTGGTTCTTGGAGGGAGAGGAGACAGGAAATCAACTCTCCTGAATATGGGAGGGGGAGGGGAGAGGGTACCGCGTTACCAATATTTTCCTTACGAATTCTGTTGCTTTAATTAAAGAATCGAGGACCGCACTCACTTGCCAGCAAGAGTTTAAAAGAGGGTTTTCTGCCTGCAGACGGAATGGCCTTTAGCCCCCCACCCCCCTTTTTTTCTTTTTGGTAACCAATGTGTTTTCTATTACCCGGCGCTGCCGTGCCGGCGCTCGCGGTGCAATGGGAGACGCCATGTTGGCTCAGCTCATAGGACCAAGTCAAAAGCGAGCTTCGAGGCAGAGTTTCACACGCTCGAGCTCCCCCTGACCGCCCCCCGCCCCCGCCCCCGCCCCCCCTGCCCCCACCCCCGCCTGCCGCCGCTTGGTGCACATCCCAGGAGTGCAGCTCCGCGCGCCCGGCACCCCGGACTTTCCCGGGGCGCTGGCGGAATTCTGCCGCACGTAAGTGGGGGCGGGGGCTGGGGGCAGGCACTTTCCCCGCAGCTGCTGCCAACTCCAGGCCCCCGTCCCTGCAGCCGGCTGGATGCTAACCCAGCCGTCTCCGCGGAGCCAGCCTCGGACGTCGCCCGCTAACTTTGAGCCCCAGCTCCTCGCGGCCCGGGGAGAGCTAATAGTGAAAGGCCGAGGCAGGGCGACCGCGAGCAGAGCGAGCAGACTGGAAACCCCCCCGGGCTCAATCTTCCCCCAGGTTTGTTTGAAAGTGGCGAGAAGCAGCGAGCGCCCCTCTCTCTCCTTGCACTATTGTTGCATTTCGCGTCTAACTGGGTTCTCTCACACCCCCGAGCGCCACGAGGAGGAGGGGGAGCGGGGTTGGGAAAAGAAATAAAGCGAGCTCAGATCAGATGGAAAAAAAAAAAAAAAAAAAAAAAAAAACAGCAAGGAAAAAGAGACACTTAAAGGGAAAGAGTCGCCATGTTTAGCAGCTTTTTTAAAGATCTCGTCAATTTCACACAGAACGCGCTCGCTGGGTCCCAGCCCTCGTCTTTTGTCCAATTCAGTCGCAGCAAAGATCTTTTGTTCTAACTCAGCGTGAAAAGAAAAACTTTCTTTAAATGCAATAAACTTAAACCGAACTCAAGACTCTAAACAGATCCTCCTCCGGCCACTCTAAACATATACAAGGGGGTTTGTTTTAACCGGTTGAAAAATTTTGGGTCCTGTTTTTCTGCCTCGCAGACCCCAAGCTCATTGCTGAAACTTAGAGTGTGAGATTTCCAACGTCCAGAACACATGCTTAAAGCATAATAAAACAGGGATTGTCTTTTGCTTTGAAAATCATAAATTATAATTTAATGCCAATAATAATTTACAACAAATGGCTGTTTACAATAAACTAACACAAAACAAACAAGGAAAAGGGCCTGTGTTTTACTTATTAGAGAAACTTCACACACTCACATGGGTACCACTTGCAAGAGGAAGAAAATAAACAACAACCGACAAAACCTCGAACTAAAGGTCAGCAATACTGTACCGTAAGAACACACTTGTATTTATATATGTATATATCTACAGAAAGAAGTGAGAGTCAGATGGAGAACTCTGCACAAATCAGAGTTTACTGGTCTGTATGTATTGACTGGAACTGAATACTAAAGTTTAATACACTTGAATTTTCTTTCACCTCCCTCACTAGTCCCCCCACTTAAACCAAAACATGATGAAGTATTGGGGTGGGGGAAGTTTGGAAACCTTGAATAAGAACAAAATTGCAAGCTCCCAGCACTGAGTGTCCTCCAAACCAGGAAAAGAGAAAGAGGAAAAATGAAAAAAGACTCCAAAAGAAATAGTTACTACTTCCAAATCAGCACACCCTGTAAAGTTTCCTTCCTTCCTTCCTTCTTTCTTTTTCTCTGTCCTGCTTTATCTTCTTTTTCTTAATTTGGCTTCTCAGGACAAAGGATCCCAAGAGCAGTACAGATTGTAGCTACACAATCTGAAATGTCAAAATGTCGATGTGTTTTTATGTACATAACTCCAATGGAAAAGATTCCCTTGACCCTGTGGTCATGCTCTCACAGACTGAAGGTAAAGGGGGGGAGGGGAGAGGGAACCCAACTGCAAGTTATCATATATACATAAAAAAAGACCCTTCAGTCTTATAACCTATATCACTGAATCTGAAATCCTCTCAACAACCACGCTAGAGCAGAACCACAGAATATTTTTTAAAATCTCACCTACTTAAGGAAAAACTCATTGCAAACAACTGCCCTCTAGTTACAATGCTGTGATTAGCTTGCTTGAACGATCTTCTGAGTAACTGTCAGAAATGTACAAAAGAGTATTTTTTTCTGATCATAAAATAGATACTGATCTCAAGATTTCTAATACTTTTTCACAATACCTTCCCTAAGCAGGCACTTAAGTGTGACAAATATAAGGGCCTTTTTTTTTTTTTTTCCTGGAAAATCCATTTTTAATTAAAAGGAGGATTAGGTGAATGGGGGTGGTTTACTATATCAGTATGGCACTTCCTAAACCATAGATAAACCATTAACTTCAGCTCCCCCCCACCACACACACACCCAAATTAAACAGGCAAATACACTAGTCCACCTTTGAACAAACTGACTAAGGGGAGTAAACAAATGGGGCCCTCCCCCCAGCCGACTAATCGAGAGCTCACAGGGGCTCTTCTGGATGTAGACAGTGAGTGGGGACAGCCAGGTTTCAGATATCAAATAATATTTTAATTTCTGAATACTTTCAATTTTCCTTGGAATATAACACACAAAGACTCGACCAAACAGTTCAGTTATTATAACTTTTACAGTATACAGAAATGTTGCACTTAAAAAAAAAACCTTCAGTTTTTTTAAAACACAAACTGTAAACTCTAAGATACTGAATCAATCACGTTACCTATAAGTGCCAACAGTGTTATTTTTGTCATGCTGATTTCAATGGTATTTTTTTAAAAAGGGAAAATATCAACAATTATAATACAAAGGGTTTGCAAATATACAAACAGATATAGGATTTTCATAACAATTCAAGAACTAAGCGGGACCCAATTCAAATTACAAAAGTTCACTTTTTATTCAAAACCTCAGCATGTGTCTTGGACACATTCCTTGGCTGCCAATAAATTCCACAGTTCATTCTCTTTCTTAAAATATTTTTTAAAAGCTAGGTTTGTCATGGTGTCTTTTGGGGAGGGGCAGGGTAGGGGAAGTTAAGTGATATATGTGGTTCCTCCAGTTCTCTAATTAGAGTGCTCAACTTCACCTAAAATTTTTGGTCACCACTTGTAAGTGCGTTTCCATCATCTTTGAGTTGCCTTTTAAAGTTTTATGTCTTCCTATGATATTTTCATGGACTCAGTTTTAATTCTTGCAGAACATATATTTTAATGATACACAGTTTTTAAGAAGCCAAGATTATATCAAAACTTATTATAGAACCACAGAATAAACTGGTTTGGAACCAGAAAAGTACAAAAAAGAACAGCTAGAAGTACATAGACACAGGACAATTAATAATTTGGAAAAAAAAAAAAAGACTTACTTTCTCCATTCTGCTAATTGTCTCCCAATCTCCTTAAATGCACTTTTAGCAATATTTTTCAAAAATTTACCAAAAAAAGAAAAAGACTAATTTCCTTTTTTATACAAAAATGATAAGTAGCAAGTTGTTCTGACCGACACAGGAGTTTTTTTTTAATGCATTCTGTAAAAGTTCATTTGACAGTCTTTTTTTTTTTTTAATTCACAGTCCATTAAATTCTTCCCCTCTCTTCTTTTAGCAAACTTGAAACATCTTTTTATATCCTTTCTTAACAGAAGGAAATTAAGCAAACAAACCAGTCTTTTGCCTTTTCTTTCTCTGTTTCACTCCCCCTTCTTATTTTATTTATTTATTGAATTGCCATATACGGCCAGTTAAAACTGCTGCCGGACAGTAACATATCCCGGATGAGGGTTTCGATGGGGGTTTTACCTACCAAACGGACGAAAAACAATTGCTCTATGACTGAGGAGGAGACGGTGCGGAGGGAAGGGAGGCGAAGCAAAAGCTTTCCGAATCGCGTCGGCTGGTTGGGGTACTGGCTCCTAACGTATTCTTCCAAAGCACACTGAGACTTTTCCTGCAAGCTTTCCACATGGGCTACATCAGAGAGACCACAGGCATCTGGAAGAAAGTTTTAAAAAAGAAGAAGAAAAAGAAGAAGAAGAATTCAGTCATCAGATTAAGAGGCTTGAAATGGGTCACATGAGGTGTGTGCATAGAGCTCTGTCAAACTGCCCCAACCGGAGTTGGAGCAAATGCCTATGTGCTCAAAACTTAATGGGGGTGGGGGGGGGGAGGGAGGGAGAAAGAGCAAGAGATGGTCCTGAAGTGTTTGCTTTAAAATAAAACATGCTCAGTGTGCCACAGGCTTTCACTGCCCGAGTGCTTAGCCTGGGTCATTGAGAGACCCAAGCAAAAGTGCATTGGTCTATCTGGCCCAAGTCGGTAAACAGAAGAAACCCAAACTGCCAGCACTCTTTCCCCTCCTTCTCTGTAAATAATAGTTTGGCTTATAATTATATAGGGGTTGGTAGGGGTTGGGGGTGGACAACCTGGCCCAGTCCTGCGTAAAGGCGTCCACGACCCAGCCTCAGATTCTCTCCAAAGAGGGCGACTCATTTTTCTCCAGTCTTTGAAACTGATTTAAGTGGCCCTTTAAAACTGATCTTGTCAGTTTAGCCTATTGAAGGGCAGCCATGCAAACTGTGATCTCTCTGTTCATTTGAGCTGTTTCTTTTCCCCCCTTTTATTCTCTCTCCCTTTTTCTCCCAACCCCCCCTTTATTTTTAAAAACCCAGGTCCCTCCAAGAAGCATCCCCCCTCCCTGTTATCTTCAGGAAAACACTTTTCTTTTTCTGATACGTGAAAACACAATAAGTGCCTTTGAAATGAGAGGCTTCTTGGTAAAGGCGGTTCAGGTTGTGACCTGACCTTTCAGGGCTCCCCAGACAAGACTGGGGTTAACACATGCATATTGTGAATCATTAAAACAGATATTCGAAAAGAGCCACCACCACCTCCACCCCAAGAACCAGAACACACAGGCAACCTCCTCATTATGTATATCTAGGACTCTGCATGTCTACAGAATGTAGAGGTGTCTGTGGTCAGGAACTAAAAGATCTGTTTGCATAGGACTCCATCCCTCTGCGGCATCATCGGAACTGTGTGTCTCCCTCTGAATCAGATAACAGGAACCTTTATCTCTTTGTGAGGCAGTTTGCATTCTCCACACAGGCCTTCACATTTTGCAAATAGTCATAAATTAAACTGTTAACGACAGTATCAGGCATTTTTTTCCTTGAAAGACCCAGAGTAAGGCTAAGAGCTAACAATGATACCAAGAAATTAACAACCACCTCCATCATCCAAGAAGGTGGGCAGGGTGTTGTGGGATGGGGTGAAGGTGGCTATGAGGTAGGGAAATATCCTGCCTGTATATTGCAGCAAGCAAATGTCCTAGAGATGAGGGGCTCTCGAGAAAAATAATCCCAATCCAAACCTCTGCAAACAGCTTCCCTTCCCAGACACTAACCTTTCATTGATTACCTAAGGACTTCCAAAGGCAGATCGGGGTGGCTGTGTGGGAGATCTTATGTGGAACGCAGCAATATACAAGACAGCAGTTTGAGGACTCAGAACCTGCAAGCCATTCAGCTAATGACTTGGTTCCCCAGACTTCTTTCAAACAATAAGGAAGAGATTGTGGACCTCCTTTATGTTTGCCGCATAAACTACACATCTCTCCTCATTTCCTGTTACAAGCTGAAAAAATTGTAGTGGGTGACTAGGTTCCAAGCCTTGCTAATGTCCAAATGTTTGTCATACTTAATCGGGAACCCCTTTCCCCTCTCAGCCATGACAAAGGGATCAGCTGACAACTTAGTTCAAGAATGTGAAAGGGAGGTGGTGACTTCCATCCACCTAGGCTATGCTGAACTCAGCCTGGAGGCAACCAAAAGGCTCAGGTGTGGCCCCAAACGGAAAGCCAGATACTTTCAAAAATCATCTGGCCTCAAGAGTTAATTATTATCAGATCTATTACTCACACAGGTTAAACTACATGCAAACTAATTAGGTTGCATAATGCAGTCAATGATGGTTTTATATCTCTAGCAACATCCATATCAAGCCCAAGTTGGCATATACTTTGGGTTGTTTGAAAATTGCCTTAAGTGTTTGCTTGGGCAGGTGAAGCAAGAGGCCACAGTCTTCAACCTCCCGCAGACATTCTGAAGAGTTATGATGGTCCCTTTCCTCCTCTTGCCCCTTTCTGACAGCTCTTTTCCCCTCTCCTGGCAGTCCGCATTATTTCAATAAGAATATGATTTTGAAAATTGCTGCCCTCAGGTTGGATTTGCCTGGAGCTCCAACTCCTACTGAGTTAGCAGGCAAACTTTCCCCTGCAGAGACCATGTCAGAGCTGCTGCAGTGCCCAGGGGCATCTCCTGGAGGCCCAGCCAGGGTCCTAGAGAAAACGGAGGACTTGAGGAGATTCCCCGAGGCCCAGAGGGCCTGAGTTCAGGAAAGGGAGCAAAAAAGTGCATCCCAATCTGGATTCTGCAGGTAGGGGAAAGAGGCAGCAGAGACTGCCCTATGGCCCATATAGGGGAATCTATCTGAAGCATCCTTCCTGCTGCCCAGCCTTCCTCTCCTCTCCCCAGGACAGTCTGGTGGTGTCCAGCAGCTATACAAAGTTCCCACTTCAAGTTGCACTCAACAGTTTGGCCTTTCAAGGAGGAGGCTGGGCTTCCCCTGGGGACTCCCAAGTTCTCTGAGCCCCAACTCTGGGCTAGGAGCCCGTGGGCACGAAAGGACAGGGCTCCTTCCTACCTGAGGTGAACAGGACTATGGCCTTGAGGCAGCTGTACTCGGCTGAGTCAACGTGCAGCGCCTTGAGCTTCTCCACTTGCTCTTGGAAGATCCGTATGTGGTCCATAAAGGCGACCACCCGGTCCGCGGACATGGGCGAGGCATGCAGGCCGGCGGCGGCCAGGAGCGGGGCGACGTGGAGGGGCATGGAGCACTGCGCCGCATTCAACACAAACAGCTCGCTCCAGGTGAGGCGAAGCAGGGCCACCTGGTCCGTGATCTGCAGGTCGGGGAAGAAGGGGATGTTCCGGGCCCACTCGACGGCGCTGAAGAGCATCCTCGCGGCCAGTTCGCAAATGTTCTCGATGCCCATGATGTTGTTGGGCTGCATGCATTGGCTGCCGAAGCGCGACGTGGGATAGGGCTCGGCGCGCAGCAGCAGGGAAATATATCCGGACAGGTACGAGTGGCAGTTGAGGGGGTCCCCGTTGGTCAGCGCGAACTGCCCGTGGGTTGGCTGGGTGGGCGGCATCCTGCCCCTCTGCACCGCTGTGGGGAGGAAAGGAGACACTTCACAGTTAATGACCAGCATCGGACCCCAGGCTCCCCGGAGGGGTCTACCCCAGCCCGACCCCCACCTGACCCAGGCCCTGAGCAGAGCAAGAACCAGGCAGGCCTGCCACAGACCTGGAGTCGCCAGGCTCCCGGCACTACGCCTTTCAAACCACCACCCAGGCGAGATCTGAGGGCCAGAGGAGCACACTTGCCTCCAAGGCCCGCTTGGGGCTGGTCTGCCGAGGACCCAGAATTGGCCACTTTGCCTCGGGGTCCCTGGCGCTGTGGGAGGGATGTAGCATTCTGAGGGCATCTTTCTTCTTTACTGCTAAACAGCTGATATTTCTTATTGATTGGAGGAGAGGGAACGGGAGGGGCGACTCTGGGGGGAGGGTGAGACGCTTTTGCAAAAGGCACAGGGGTTCACCCCAGAAGGCCTGTGACCACTCCGGAACGACTCTCCTCCAAACCCCGAAGCCTCAGCCCCAGCCCCAGCCCGGCGGGGAACCCCCAGTGAGAGACAAGCAGTGAGCGGAGGTCTGGCGTCTGTCTAATCAGTGTGCTCGGAGAAGGAGACGGAGGGAGAGGGCGGAGAGAGAGAGGCCGGCTAAGGAGAGAGGAAGTCGGGAGAGGCAGGGAGCAGGCGGCCGGCACTAGCGGAACCTGGGCAGGGCCTGTAAGGACCGGGGCAAGCCGGAGAGGCTCGGGCTCAGGCTGTTATCTGACTGCGGACCGGGAGAGTCGCTCTCGCAGAAGCACAAAGAAACCCCGGCGTCGGCTCGCCCCAACCCGGAGCTCGCGCCCCGCGCCCCGCGCGGAGCGCGCCATTGGCAGAGCACGGCTCGCGGCGCTCGGCGAATTTTATATCACAAAGACCCAACTCGTACAGAGCGAAAGCAGCCGCCCAGGGCCCGTCGCCCACCCTTTCCTACTTCCTATCGCGCTCTCTTCGTTTCAAAAGTGAAAGGAAAAAGGAAAGCAGAGTTGTTTTTTTTTTTTTTTTAGCAGAATGTTAATCCACGGAGGGTCACATGAGCGCTGCCCGGGCGGCAGCGTTAATACGGCGAAGTGCATAAAATTGCCATTTGTAATTTGAACCTCCTGTACAAAAGTACAATCTCAGGTTGGGGATTTTTTTTTTGAGAGGGTGGGGGCTGGGGAAAGGGGTGAGGGAGAGGGACATGTTGAACATGCAGGAGAAACAAGAGGAGAGAGAGAGAAGTATACTAGGCTTTAAAACAACAACAACAACAACAACAACAACAACAAACACCCCATCCCTTGAAGATAGGCAGACTCCAGCGAACTCACAACCAATGCAAAGGAAATGAAAACAGCCCAAAGAGAGAGTAGAGAAGGAAATCAGTCGGCCAAAGCATGCGGATTTGGGGGTCTGGGTTCCAATGCAGAACTCGCTTCTAGTATAAAACCCCTTGCCGCTGCAATACGAAGAGAAGAGCTCGGGGCTTCTTGTCCTTACCCAGAGCAGGCTAGCCACACGTACCCAGGACCCAGGGACCCAGGGCGAGGGAAGGAGAAATGAGAGGCCGATACCTTCCCGTCTCATGCCCACTTTGAGGCACTTTTTGAGGCGGCAGTACTGGCACTGGTTGCGGTGGTGCTGGTCGATGGGACAGTTCCGGTTGGCGCGGCACGTGTAGCTCAGGTTCCTCCGCACGCTGCGCTTGAAGAAGCTCTTGCAGCCCTCGCACGTGAACTGGCCGTAGTGCTTGCCGCTCGACTTGTCCCCGCACACCACGCACTCGATGTGCTGCTGCTGCTGCTGCTTGTCGCTGCCCGGGCCGCCGGGGCCGCCCTGGCCACCGGCCGCCGTCTGGGCCGGCGTGCTGGCTGGGCCCCCTTGGCCGGGCGTCTGTGGCGTGTGCGGGGCGCCGGGCGGCGGGCCGGGCACGGGCGGCGCCTGCGAGGCCTGGCTGCCCTGTGAGCCGGGCACCTCGTCCTGGGGGTCGCGCCACGTGCTGACTACCATTGCCATATCTATGGGGGCCGCGTCCGGACTTCCTGCTCCCCTGGCTGCGGGCGGCGGCGGGGCGGCGGCGGCTCCCCGGGTCTCGGGCTCCGGCGCACCGCCTTTTGTGTGTGCGAGGGTGCGAGAGGGCGCGGGAGGGCGCCCCGGGTGGCTCGGGGGCTGGTTGGTTGAGGTTGGTTAGTTTTTCCTTTTTTGTTTTTGCTTTTGCAAAGTTTTGTCGATTGCTTGTCTGGCCCGGTGTGTTTGTTTTGTTTGTTCCCCTCGGCTCAGCTTTGTTGGTTTCGGGGGGCTTTCCGCCGGGAGGGGAGGGGAAGGGGACAAGAGAGCGAGTGGGAGCAGAACGTGGAGAGAGAGGGAGGGGAGGGAGAGCTGAAGTCGATTGTCTGGCTTCAAGACAGAAGTAGGAAGCAAAAAAAAAAAATCTCTCCAAAGATCTCGCTCGCCCTCACTCTCTCCCTCCCTCTCTCGTTCACTCTCTCGCTCTTAGAGCTGGTGTGCAGCCGAGGAGTTGGCGGAGGAGGAGGAGGAAGAGGAGGAGGAGGAGGAAGAGGAGGAGGAGGTGGTGGAGGAGGAGGAGAAGGAGGAGGAGAGGCGACTGTCCGGGGGCCAAGTCCAGGGCAGCCCACAGTCAGCCATTCAGGAAAGCCATCGAAATCAGGAGGACTAGGAGATCGGAGGCGCCGGGTGCGGGCGCGCCCTGGGAGCCAGGCAGGCCGGGGCGGAGGCCGGCGGCCCGCGGAGTGGCCGGAGCGCTGCCCGGGTCCGGGGGAATCAGCATGAAAGTGGTCCGCGTCGGGCGCTGCGCGGCGTCGTCCTGGCGCTGGGCCGCCGCCGCCGCCGCCTGCCCCGGGCGTCCGGCGCGCGCCTCGCTCTCTCCGGCCGCCGCCGCCCGCAGTCGCCGGGTGGAGGCCGCTCGCTGTTCCCTGCGGGCCGCCCGGGCCGCCGCCGCCGCCGGAGCCGCCGCCGAAGCCGCCGGGTCGGGCCCGGAGCCGCCGCGTCTAGCGCCGCCGCCGCCGCTGAAGTCGCTGCTGCCGCTGCTGCCGCCGCCGGAGCCGCTGCTGCTGCTGCCGCCGCCGCCGCCTCACACACATAGGGAAAGAGTCAACTCGCCGGCGGCGGGGGAGAAATGATAAAAGAGAGAGAGGAGGGCAGATCACCACCTAGAAGCACATCCTTCGTGCGCGGAGGGGGGAGAGAAAGACGGAGAGAAAGAATGAAAGACGGGAAAAAGGCAGCTCGGCACCCGGAGAAAGGAGGCAACTCAGGGAGAGGAGGAGGAGGAGGAGAAAACACACACGCGCGCACGCACACACACCGCGGAGAGAAAAGAACAGAGAATCAAAGTGATCAAATATGCTAAAAAGGGGGGCGCGGGAGGGAATGCGATTTATAGGCGCCGGGGCTGGCAGAAGTGGCTTCTCCGCGATCAGCTCACTGAGCTCTCTATATAGTGAACTTTGACACGACTGCTGCAACTTAGCGCACGTTGCCATGGCGACGGCGCGCCTTATAAGGCAGCAGCCGGGGTTGGCCTGGCCAGGCGCGCGCGCGCCGCCCCCTCGCCGTCATTGGCCGGACCGCCGCGGCCCCGCCATGGCGGCTGCAGGAGCAGCCCGGTCCTAGCGCGAGCGGCGTCTCAGGCAAGGCGCGGGGCGCGCTGGGGACGGAGGTGGGAGGGGGGCGGGGACGGGGTGGCCGCGCCGCCGCCGAACGGGGGATGGGCCCGGGCTGGCCCCGCGGGCGCTGCCACCGCGGTCCCCACAGCCCGCACCCGAGGTTTCCGCCCCGGCTGAGAGACTAGCGCCGCGCGCACACACGGCGTCTCTTAAAGGCTCCGTGAGAGGCTTTGCATGGAATCCGGGGCTTCGCCTCTCGCAACTTGGCGATGTCACTAAACCCGCCGCTAGCGCACCACCCGGGACTCCTGGCGCATCTTAGTGCCCGCAATGCCAAAGAAAAGTTCCCTGGTTTCTTTGCAGAGGGGTAGGGAGTGAGGGGGGGAAGGTACCACAAACGGAGCTTGCAGGCCTTTCCCAAACGAAAGATTTGGCCAAATCCAGGTGATAGCAAACCCTTCTCTTAATCAACTCTGATCACTTTTTCGGTTTGGTGGCCCATATATATATATTTCTTTTCAGAGGATAAAGCCGTTCTGCTTCTGTGTTTTCCTTGTAGGGTTAACATTTCACAGGTATATGGCCTGACATTTTAATTGCCCAAATAAAGCATCTTGGATGCTGAGAAGCAGAAGTAGACTTCACCTCATTGTCATGACGCAATTAAAATCAATTTTTCTCAACTTTACTCTCTCTCGTTGGTGTTAGCTAACTCTCCATAAAACACCCTGCCACATACCCCAGTTATGGTGAGAGGGGAAAGACTTCTGCCCGCTGATGGGCAGGAGGAGGCAGCTGCCCAGCCTCCCCTGTGCACACCCTCTGTACACACATGTAAACGCACATGTATCAGATACACATTTGTCAATGTACACAGACAAAGACTTCACCGACTATGCTTCTAGGTCAGAACAGTTAAGTACGGACTTCATTGTTCCTCAAGTTCCTTTTAAGCATTCATATAGTCATTAAAAGTCACCCAGAGATTCTGCCCCAAATGGGAAATAATACCAGTACAGGTCACAAGAACCACACACAAGCCATGTTCTACCTCCAGAAGTCACTGCAAAAAGAACAACTTCATAGACGATTGCCATTCTGCTGCATGTGCTAAAATAATTGAGACAGTTGTGTCTTTGAATTCCAGGTGTCTGGTTTTAAACATCAAACATGTAGAATTGCTCTCAGAACACACTATACTCCAATGCAGTAAACTTGTTGTTTGATTGTGACCAGTTAATGAATTATCATTATTCCACATTTATATAAGAAAATTGTGTCTCCTTGGTACACACTTTGCACCAAGAAAAAAACCTTATGCCGGTAAGCCAACCAGGTTTTTGAACAATTAAAATATTTTACACAAAAGACGCTGAGCTCCCGGGGAAAAAAAATGAACACATATGAGGAGTAAATTGACGACTACAGGAAAGCATCCTTGGTAGCTGAAAAAAACTGACAGGCTAAAGATATTTTTAAAACAAACCATACATATAATTGACATGTATAGATTACATTTTGCATTCAATTCTCTTTACACACATAGGCAGAATATGAGGTAGGGACTAAAGATCTGGGCAGCTGGGGGCTGGTTTTTAGGAAAGAAAAATCTTTTTTAAGCTTTATTCCTGAAACCTCCTCAGCCCTCACTGTTTCTCTGATAAAATTACATATTTCACTAAAGCTGCAGGTTCTCGGTTTATTTGAAAGTTGTTTTTTTTTTTTTTTTTTAAGTCCAACAAACCTATAGTGGACACTGAACTATCATAAACCTGGTGTGTAATAAGATTGCCACAGAGTGAAGCCAAGCTGAGAATTTCAGGTTGATTAGAGATACAATATAACTTTTTCCTAAAGAGGTTGAGAAGAATGGAAAAGAAATCATTACAGAGGAGAAGGTTTTTGGTTGTTGTTGTTGTTGTTGTTGTTGTTGTTGTTGTTGTTCCTTTCAACCTCTGTGATTTAGGAATTTCTAATGTTACAAATGTCAGTAGATTAGGGACACACTCAGCTGAGATGTGATGAGGCTGGGGTTGAGATAGGAAATCTAATGGGCATTCCCATCTCAATTTAATAGAGGATGAAAATAATTGATTATAGGGAAATCTTAATCTCGCCTCCTCAATAGGGAGACTTCCATAGCAGAATACCTTTTACCCACCTGGGAAGAGACAGTATCGAGGAGGAAGAGCTTTCCCAGTTCACTTAGAGATTTTTGGAATTGGAGTATGTTCTGATGGCCTTAGATTGAAAATGAAATATTTCCCAACCATATCTGAAAAAATTGGAGCCTGTTAGGCAAATGATCACAGGGCTGCCATAAAGTCAGGGGTGTTTTGCTCTGTATTTTTGGACTCATTCAGTTATGAAAATGCAAGTTACAAGGGGGAAAAATCACAGTATAAATTATACTTAATTTTAATGCATAGAAGAAAAGGCAAGACTACAGACTGAGAAGAAAAACGAGGCAAAAATATTGTAAAATGTCTGCTCCAGAGACGCTCACTTGCTGTGGCGCTAAGGTTAAAAAGCTCTGAGAAGATAAAATCAATATATTATTATTGTTTCATAAAAATCAGACTCAGTCTTTTTTTGGAAATGTAAATTTATTTTAATGAGAGGAATGGCAAGCTTTAATTTGCCTAGAAAAAGTTGGGA